ATTTTAATTTGGTTTTGTGCTTCAGTCAGCTTTGTCCGCAGTTCATCAATATTTTCATATTCCCTATTGTATACCAGATGAAGGGCAAGAGCTTCCTCGTTGTGGATAAAAAATGTTCTTTTCAGATATTGTCTCTAAATGTGTTCTACATAACGTAAACTTAAGGGATTGCAAACATTACTTAGTCCTAAGAAAGTCAAAAACATGTAACGGAATCTCCGACTTGCCACTTGAGTGGAGCGATTACAGAAAATAATGGCCTATTAAGTACATGTTTTTTTGTGTAATTATGAAAGTTCAGAAAACTGCGCAGTTTTTAAAATTATTTTGGACCTATGGAAGTTCTTTTTTTTTTTCAAACCTTTAAGTTGAAAATTTTAGAATGTTCCGCTAAAAGCATATTTTTTATGTTTCTAGCAAAAATTTTGTATCTTGCATCAAAGATAGGAAGTTGATTATTTTTTTCAAAAATCTGCAATTAATAGGGAATCTGTTAAAAAAAAGAAATCTGAGAAAAGTCGACCCAAAAAACAGATAAAATAATTTAAAGCCTACTGGGTCATAAAATTTGAAAAAATCACAAAATTAACAATAACTTCTAAACTATGAAAAATCGTAGAACATACATGGGGGTGAAATCGATAGGTCTAGTCCTCACCTATCACCTGCCTTCGGCTTGACACCTTACAAGAAACACCCTGTATAGTAAAGTCACTGTAACTTGAGGACATACCATCACTTTCTGAAAACGTTTACGCAGGTAGATTAGATACCTACATTAAGTGTTGCATACCTACAAAGTGCTATGCTACATAGATACATAGGTAAGTAATATTATTTCCAATAATTTAGTAAAGTCCATTTTTATTCATCTTTTGAAAGCAGATTTTTATATTTGAACTCTACACGAGGCTAAGTACTTAGTTGCTAAAGCTATAAAATAGTTTTCACTCTGTAAGATTACACATTATGTTATTAACTAACATGGATAAAATAATTAAGCTTATAGAAAAATGATCATGAAAATGAATGAATGTTGATTACTTACTTTTATAGTATGTTGGTACTTTACGCAAACACTACGCCTCAACCCAGAGCAATGACTTAGAGACAATATTTATACGATTGTTTAAATGGTTTATTTTATCGGGTCAGATGACCTAACGTGATATTAGTAGTATCGAATGACTGCGATATATGTTGCAGAATGAAATGAGAGATACGAGTCTTAAAATTAATTTAATGTAGCAAGTGTCGTCTTTAAATTTCAAGGATCAGTTTTAAATGTTAATTTTACAAACGAGATGAATTATTACTTAAATTTATGTGTCGGCGAATAAGTGAGTGAGAAGTCGTTATTATTAATAGTAATTTAAAATATTTTTATCTTGTCATGTCTGGTTGCAATACAAGTGGCCTAGTTTAGGCACGTCGTTTATTTGATTCCACCGATAAGATAGTATAGGTTGGAGATCTGTACCTCTAGTAGGAAAAACTTTCGAGTTCGTTTCGTTGCGTATTCAAAGTGTCATCGAAAAATTTTGTATGAAAAATTAAACAGCGCCCCCTATATTATAGCCGCCCTAGGGGGCGCTGTTTAATTTTTCATACAAAATTTTTCGATGACACTTTGAATACGCAACGAAACGAACTCGAAAGTTTTTCGTACTAGAGGTACTGTAATATTTGTAGGTACGGCAACCGAGTTAACACTAAAATTGTCATACCTCGTGTTTAATATTGTAGGTATAAGTTTTTCTTGTCTCCTATGACGGATAATGATTTTTAAGAACATGAGATAAATGAAAATATTTGATTAGTGTGATTTTTATAAATAAGTAGGTATTTAGTAGGTTACTAGACAGAACGTCAAAGTATAAAATTCAAAAGAATAAGGTACCTACCTTACCTTTACTTTGCTTACCTACTTACAAGAAATACCGCCGAAACAGGTGTGTCGTACTGATTTAGTTATTAACTATAAATAAAATGAAGTGCGTGTGTCCGTAAATATTTAGGTACGTCACCAGATTCAAGCCGATCATCGCATCTCTACATTATAATATTATAATAGCACACCTATAATGAAGACGTAACCATTGCTTAACATTATTTATAAAAAAAATGTCTTCTTATAAGTAATCTGGGGGCACGGCAGTGCCCCCACCAAGTCGAGCAAAAAAGCNAAATAAAATGAAGTGCGTGTGTCCGTAAATATTTAGGTACGTCACCAGATTCAAGCCGATCATCGCATCTCTACATTAAATAGTAATTTAAAATATTTTTATCTTGTCATGTCTGGTTGCAATACAAGTGGCCTAGTTTAGGCACGTCGTTTATTTGATTCCACCGATAAGATAGTATAGGTTGGAGATCTGTATATATTTGTAGGTACGGCAACCGAGTTAACACTAAAATTGTCAAACCTCGTGTATAATATTGTATAAGTTTTTCTTGTCTCCTATGACGAATAATGATTTTTAAGAACATGAGATAAATGAAAATATTTGATTAGTGTGATTTTTATAATTAAGTAGGTATTTAGTAGCTTACTAGACAGAACGTCAAAGTATAAAATTCAAAAGAATAAGGTACCTTACCTTTACTTTGCTTACCTACTTACAAGAAATACCGCTTTTCTAAAGTAGACTAGTTAAGGCCGAAACAGGTGTCGTACTGATTTAGATATTAACTATAAATAAAATGAAGTGCGTGTGTCCGTAAATATTTAGGTACGTCACCAGATTCAAGCCGATCATCGCATCTCTACATTATAATATTATAAAAGCGCACCTATAATGAAGACGTAACCATTGCTTATAGGTACCTTATTTATAAAAAAAAAATCTTCTTATAAGTAATATTTCTTAACCGATTGTGTTATCTTTTAATTAAGACTTTATTTGTAAACATAGTAGAGATCATTGAGCCTCGCTTGACCTACGCCTTAATTCAAAGCTTAGGAAATTGTATGTAATGTTATGTCAGATTTTCAAGATTTCTTATTATATTCCTAAAGTAGGTTAGACCTTACATCAAAAAGTTTAACGTTTTTGCAACATTTATTTTAGGTTCAAGGCCAATAAAAAGACGCGAAAAACGCGCCAGCAAAAAACGGTCGTTATAGAAGAATCGCTTTAGTTGGTTTAACCAGTTTAACTATAATCTATTGAAGTGAGTGCAATGAACTAGGTTTTAAGAAAAGTTGACCTAGATTTTATTGCAATTTATTACAAAAATATTGGTGAAAAATTCTCACATACCTATGCATGGGTATGTATCTCAATCCGATTATGAATTCTCCGTGTTTGCACGTCCATTGTCAAAGCAACGTGATAGTTAATGTTTGAAGTTCACGTATTGAAAGATGTTATCTTCAAATCAATAGTGCGATAAAGTTGTTACCTGATTAAATTAGTCATCAATGGGTATCATGAAAATACGAAGGAATGTTAATTTGGTAATACGGCAACAAGTCACTACGA